CAGGGATTGGGGAGATTGGGGACGACGAAACAACACAAGCGTTGCTTCACGTCGTGAGGCCACTCCGGTCGAGCCGACCCATTCGTGCCGAAGCATGGCTCTCCCACACTTTGTTGTTTGTTGTATTTAAATATCGTGCCATGTCTGTCATTTTACAAAGAATTCCTAGTGACAGAACTATAGTTAGGTAAGTGCGACTTATAATTGAGTGGCGTTTGAGTATTTCAGCGTAAGTGTATCAATGTAGTCTAACCATAATAATTTTTACAAGATTTATATTATTAACTTGTCTTTTCGTTATCATTGTTTTCTGTTTACATCGTTTGTTTTGTTTCTTGATTAAACTATTTTCGACTTTTTATATTCAAAATTAGGATTTGTTTTGTTTGTATATCTGTTTCTGAGATATCTGTATTAACACTGTGTATGTTACGTGTATTCTCTGTTGGAGATCCTTTTTAAATAAATAAATGATCATTGTACAAATTGTTCTGCAACCAGCCAACGTACACCACTTCTAATTCCAGTTTGGTGTGTTAAATTATTATTTTACACACACAACAACAAACGAATCAATTCTGATTTACATCTTTTGTTATTGTCCAAGTTTCGTAATATTTTGTTTGTATAACTACTTATTATATTTCAGTGTAACTTGCCCAACGCAATGTGATGAAAGTTTATTTATACTGGGCTTGTTTACCTACATTGAAATTGGGTAAACAAAAGATCACGAAACAAGAGTTGGGGCCTTTTCAAATTCCCCTGTTACCTAACAATAATTTTACTTTCATAAGAATGTTGCCTTTAGTAAAGATTTCAAAGTTTCTTGGAGCGATGATATGAAACAACCTTTTAGTTTGAAAATTATGAAATTTCCTCAAGTTTATTCGGTTTCGTATTTTTAATGTGTACTTCGGTGAAACACGGTCGAGTTACCTAGCTTACAAAGGATGGTGGCGCAATTATTAACTCTTCCCTGTTTAGATTCTTATATCTGTACTTATAGAAGGTGGTGTGATTTTTTTACTGTTTCTAAAAATTAATTTTCCGAACTGGAACTGGTTAACTGGAATAAACCGATGTCTAAAACGATATAAGAACTTTAACTTTGACATAGGTGCTTATTCATTACAAGAATTAGGTAAGTACCTACATTATTTTCGACTTCTTCTAGATATTTTTGAATAAGAGTACTCATACATATATCATAGAACAACAGAAAAGTATTAGGGACTACGAAAGAAATGAGTCAAGTTCCATTTTTTATCGATAAAAATGAACCCAGTGAAAATTAAAAATGCTTGAAAAAGCAACGGCTTATTAATAACTCGTGAGTGACTAAACTGAAAGTTAAGTAAGTAATTAAATTCAAAAGTGTTTTGTCATTTTAAACATTACGAGGTAACGTGGAGTCACGAAGCTTGTTAGATTTAGTTAATGTAAAAATAAATACTTGAAAAAGCTTTTAAAACAGTTATTTAGTCTACATAGTTTTATTGTTCGTCTACGTAGTCGTTACAAACAGCGCCAAAATGTTGTCTATTACATTTTCATGTGCGAGTGCCTAACTAACTAGTGGCAGTTGTCTAAATAAAAGAAGTTTTTGTGACAAATTATGAGGTAGGTGTAGTGGTATATAAACATTACGGTTTTATAGGCAGCATTAGTCTGAGTAACAGCCAGCTTTTACACATAATGAAGGTTATACCGAATACTTATTATGTAATGAATTTAACGATTATTAGGCCCACGCGTTTACATGTACGCATTCAATTTCATGTAAATTATCTCTGAAAAAAAATGTGATACATATACCTAGGTTTTGTAACAATGATGATTGAAATAAAAAGGTAGGACAGGATAATTATATGTTTACATTTATTTATGTATATAAAATACTATCACTACGCAGTCAGGTCTGGTGATCATTAAATTTCCTACAAGGGAGACTTCCCTCGGTAAAAAAAAAGTAATTATATAACGACGTGTAACATATTGAAGTAACATATCTTTTCTCACATTGTTCAACTGTTTCATATACCTATAAAAAGTTAGGCGATAGTAATGATGTGCCAAAACTTATTTTATTTTATCGTCTGACACAATATTCACGGCTAAACAATCATCAAATGATAGTTCAGTAGCGTAGCGTAGCCTCCGAAAATGAAGAAAAATGCGTGCGTTTTGCACTGTGGCAAGTGGCAAGGTGGCAAAATTGTTGAATTAAAATTGTCTGTAAATTTAAATGGATTTTGATGATTTTTACGTATGTTATTATATATATCGTATACGGTTTCTCTGTACTCATTTCGTGTCGAAAGCTTTTTGAATCGTTTCTATCACAAAATGTTGCAGAGCGATTACTGCTCCAATAATATTACAATACGCTATTTTTGTGTATATTTTGGTGTACCTAAAAAGGTTGTCTCTTCATATTGTAAGGTCTTCATTTTGTTTCGATGTTCATAGTGATTGTTGGCCAAACAACGTAATGACTTTTTATAATCATTCACAAAATTTAACGAGCTCTGAGACTCCAGACCGGCTGAAAGTTCGTGATTCATGTGTAAATAACTTACAATATGCCTGCTACAGCAGACGTTGATGGGATTTACTAATTTAATAAGAATGGAATAAGCTTTAGGTAGCAGGTAAAACCTTACTTTTAATTTAAACAAAATATTCACCAACCTCACACGTAATGTGCTCACAGAATACATTCCAGCGGACTCGTGTACTTAACCTAATTATGTACTATGTATGCGCACGACCACATTCTGAATAAATGAAAACGCATTATAATAACCTTATACAAAGCAAAGCTAATGGTGGTTAGTAATTATACTTCAAGTGGCCAGACTTGCAACGCCCTCTCTTTTAAAACGTATTTCTCATTCGGACACTACCTCTATAATTTGTGGAGGTGACTCAATCGATGTCAACGTAGCTGTCGAACTACATTTTTGTGCACGCCGGTAATTCACGTCGTAAATGTCAGTGTTAATTATCTTTCACCATCAATTATATCAAAGCAAGCCTAAAATATGTATTCATAGATATTACTGTCATTGGAAAATTTACAGAGGTTTAGCGACCGGCCCTCATTTGTGTGCTCAAGGTCGATTCTCTTTACAGTGAAGTCTGTTGGTTTTACTTGTAATATTCAGTTACGTTACCGCAGAACGTACGTGTAGCGTGCGATATAAATAGAGGTTAGGCTCGAGTTGTTCCGACCGTACTCATGTGCACAACAGACCAGTCCATTATCTTACCGCAACTAATAAAAACTGAAAGGGATCTCAGTACAACTGACACGTGTCGAAACTGTTGTAATTCAGTACTCGATATGTAGTAGCTAAAGAACTCACAATTCAATCAATGTACCTCAGTCTCTACTCAAATAATTGCTTCCAACTTTTGATTCTATAAAAAAATAGCTTTGGCAACTGAATCGGTTTGTCTTTCACCGGGAAAAGATTTGTTCTATTGTTATCTAGTATTTGACAACTGTGAGGACATTCATTGGACGATCCGAGGTAAATGTGTTTCGCTCTCAAGCTGACCTCATGAAGTGTTGTTCACCTACGCACACTACATTTATCAGACTTACATAAATACAATTAATATTCTGAGTAAGCAGTATCTCTGCATTGTTATATGAATTTTTATAAGTAATTTATCAATACTTCACTGCCTACTTGATATTTACCACTACTAACGTTGTATAGACTTCCTCCGTTTCCACTTAATTTATATTAAACGATCTGTCAAGACTAGAAAGTGTAAAAACATTTGTAGTCGTAATCTTCTCTGCTTTACCCCTTTTCGGGAGAAGTAAGTGTAAGATTGTTTCGAGTAATGTAGGTATTTGATAATTGAGATAGAGATGTATGTACATACCTAATTAATAATTATAAAAATGAAATATCACAAAAATCTACATTCAATACACTATCATGTTTTGCGTAGCACTCTGCGTAGCAATGGGATAAATTCCGTAGTATAAAACTGCTACGAAATGGTTCAGGCCTACGCAGCGTCTACGAGATTTTTAAAATAATAAAGGGTATAACAAAATTATTGCAATGATCCAAATCTTAGTCAGATATGCCACGCATTGGAATTTCCAAAGTTGATATATGATTCCACACAACTTTTACGATTGATTTCAGTCTTGGGTTACGGCATTTTATACCTAGAAATAAATTCAAGCGATTCAGATTCCAATGTGATTACGCTATTCTCAGTCTGGAGTATACGCCCTAGTATTTCAGACTGTTTAATTACCCGTATATGAATTCTGCGCATTTGACTCTAAGACGCTCTGTTGTACATGGAAATGAGTACAAATGACCCAATTTTTATTCGGCTGCGACCGTCATACCTGCTAGCACGAACTATTTTGTGTGAAACAGAACGCGACCCTCTCTACTCACTGTGTGGAGGTTTAGTACAAAGAAAATATATCATAGTTATAAAGGTATATTATACAAACGTGTAAAAGTTTAGTAGGAATTTGTATATCAAAAAAGTAACAACACCTACCTGATATTATTGTTTAAAATAACTCGTAGATGACTCACGCACCTTCTACCGATCTGATTTTAACGACGCTTTAATTTGTGTTATTTTTAGACTGGACATCATAGACTTTATCACTGACTGCTTAACATACTGCCAACTAGCAGTGTATTAGTAACTAATCCTAACTTTAGTTAACTACCTTGAGAACATCAACATATTTGTTCTATTTAAAAAGCAAATCATGCCCTTCTTTCTTATAGATTCTACTACACTGATTTAAACTATATCTATAGGCATTACAATTTGTTTTATTCCGAATAAAATATGACTTATCACCTTGTATTATAACAACAAGATTTAAAACCCTTGTTATTAACCGTTAAAAGTTCGTATTGAAAGCTTGGTAACAAATAAAATAATTACATATGTGTTAGTAGGTACAGTTGTTATAATTTGAGGTGTATACTTTACAGCGGCAGCTCGTTCGAGGGTCAATGGCAGAACGGGAAGCGGCATGGGCTCGGTGTGGAGACGCGCGACCGGTGGCTGTACCGCGGCGAGTGGACGCAGGGCTACAAGGGCCGCTACGGCGTGCGACAGAGCACCATTAGCAACGCCAAGTACGAGGGCACGTGGGCCAATGGACTCCAAGACGGTTACGGCTCGGAAACTTACGCTGATGGCGGTTAGTATTATCTAATTTCTTTCATTGCCAAACTATTGGAATTCAGACGAAAATACATTACGTTTACATGGCCATGGCATTCCTAGGTAGGTAGATCCGTTCGTTACGAACACATTACATATTGTTAATCTAATGATAACACGCAAATCTATTGTTTTAATCTGAAAATATCCGTTGAAATCCGGGTTAACTCGAGACGCTACTTGCATAGTTAGTTGAAATAATTTCATAACTATTTGTTGCATACGCGGTGTTCACCGCATGACCCAGTTTATAATGGCGTGAACTAGGAAGGAAACCCTTTTACTTGCGCAATGTTTGCTGTAGGAAAATAATATCTGTAAGCAACACAACGTTAACATTATAAATTCTTACTAAGCATACCTACGAGTAGACTGTACTCATACGTATCTACACTAGGCTAGTTATAATATGTTAAAAGCACGCGACATATGGAACGCAACGTACTTATATACTTCCGTGGACTTATATGGTTTTGTTTCTCTTCTAAATATTTCAACTGCGTATGCACCTATCAATGTCATCACGTGTATTATAAGTTTTGTATGTCGTTTATTCATGTTGTGCCAAGTGACTGACAATAATCACTTTCAATTGTGGTATAATTTACCCAATAACATTTGTCCAACAAAAATAGGACAAAGTTCAGATAATAATGAGTATCGTGCGTGAAAGTCACATGTTTTCTGACGACATTACTCCACTGCTGGCTGAATCATGCCCTCAATAAAGATATTCGTCATTCATAAAATGAAAATGATGAATTAGTATATTGTGTTTCTCATTTTTGTAAAGTCGTTGCTCGCATTTGATGAATTATAAAACACTTCTTTCCGGGTGCAATAATTGGGGAAAAGAAAACTATATGAACATGTATGCTAATATATATATTATAACATATAAAATGACGGAATGAGTGTAGAAAATCACATCTTTCTTACAAATTAATCTCATTAAGATTTATATCTGACACACTTTCGAACGAGCTACTGAGGCAACTAACTGTGATGTCTTCCTCATGAAATCTGTCTTACTCATGAAGACATTTTGTAACGCTGTATTATAATTATAAACGAGTTAGTTTTATTTTCCAATGACTGCATCAATCCTCCAGCAGCCTACTTACTCGGGTGTATTGATATGAAAGTTCTCAGTAGGTTTCTCGATGAATGATTGGAGTGAGGCGGCCCTGTGCTCTGTCGGCCGCCACGCACCGGCCCGCGGCCCTCGCCGTTTAAATATAGCACAGGCACGCCTGCCGCGCCGCCTCGACACACAATCATGTCGACCACTCGTTTAATACTAGGCACTACAAAAATTAACTGTACAATCACACCCTAATTACTACAATGGCACAACATCATTTTTCTAGATTCATCGAGCCAGAATGTTTTAAAAACCGTTACCACCTTCAACCGAACATTTTGAGCGAATATGTAAAGCGTGTAAAGAAAATTTAAAGTGAGTGACATTAATTAGGAACTGATTGATCATTATTGCTTTTCCTGTAAGCAAAGGTTTACAGCTGACGGGATGTTATAAACACAGGAAATATATGATTTGACACAGTTTTACACCTTTGAGTAGGTACGGAAAGCGTGGTAGACATACATTCATGAATGCCATTGACGTCATCCAGTGCTTGACGATGTAGAGCGATTGACTATGAGAAATAAGTCGTGCCATAGAGTAATACTTCTTTCGGATTCTCAAATAATTGATGTGGAAAATCAGTAATAGTCAAATTTTATTACATCGCATATTTAATTCTGTGATAAATAAGAGTTCGTAGAACCTTTACACAAAATATATTTTTTAGGAAATATTGAACCTGTTTCCGTGGTTGAGAAAACATTGAATTATTCGGTTGGTAGGTAGTTATTTATGATTTTTTATATTTCCTTCCTCAATTTTTATAACTTTGTAACTGGGTCTAGGTACTATTTTATGAAACAGCTTATATGTAAACATATTATTATGCTAAATGTGGATGTAGAACACCATTAGAATGTAGTACCTGATATACTTGTAGTACGTATAGGGAAACGACTGGCGTCATTTCATTTTAAAAGCATTTCTCTTGACTCTGCTCGTACGGCGTTGTATAGATTAGCTCAGTCTGTTCGTAATATTGAAAGACCTATCGGAAAACTGATGACGTCTTTACATCGCATGATCGCATTTGCCGATGTACGTTGGTGCCATTATTGTGCGATTGTCAGTAATCGAATCATAAGTATTTTCATTATCTGTTTTTAACTGCACGGTAGCTATAATGGCATTATCATAAACCATGTCAGGCTTCCGTCCCGTTTTAAGTGGTTTATCTCTACACCATACTTAGTAGGCGATAGTGGACTTTGACGCTTATCACACATATCATGTAAATGAGTGGTTGTAAAGCTACTGATTTTATGTTGTGGCCCATTCCATAGATTTTTAACAAAATGCTTTAATAAACTATACCTACCTGTGTCTAAAGCAAACTCTTAAACGTATATGAGGTTTTACTGTTCAAAGACTTGAGGTTTTACTTATATATGTTATGTAAGAATCTTAGGCAGAAAGATAAAAGTAATGAATTTGATTCCAGGCACGTATCAGGGACAATGGATGCGCGGGCTGCGGCACGGGTACGGAGTCCGTACGTCGGCGCCGTTCGGGCTGGCGTCGCACTACCGAGGCGGAGCGCGCGGCCACCGCGGCTCCATGTCCTCGCTCAACGAGGGTGGCGCTGACCCCTCGGAGCAGCGCACCACCCGTATGGACGACGCCCGCGGTGGATTCGTGCTCACCGTCAGATCCGACCAGCCGTCGGGACGCCGCGGCTCGCTTGTCGGAAAACCTAAAGGACTGCTCCACGTAAGTTCAGCCTGCGCTTACAAAGAAAGTTAAAATCATTAACAAAATATAATTTTACTATTTTCATCCGCTTTTCGCAGTCTAAAACGGAGATACCATTTATAATCTACTTTACTTACTCTTACGAACATTTAAACTACGACAATAAGTGACAAATGAAGTCGGTTAAAAGGAATACCTACATATAGCAAAATTAAATAATGAAAAAGTGAAAACCGACATTGGTCTGATGCAGATTGTCTTCATGCCAAATTAACTTGCTTAGGTACTTGTCAACGTAAATATAAGCAAAATACCCTTCGTAACATAAAATAAACACTTACGAGAAAGAAGGTGACTTTTATCTATTATATCTATATGTGGTAATCTTTGCATACGATGCAATGATCGATTACCTTAATTAAGTAAATGGGGTAATTTAATGATTATTCGCCATAAGTTAACTAATCACCTCGAAAATCCGAGGAAACAAAACCAAAATTCAAAATAGTTAAACTGATTACTCGTAGGTGATTAAAACAAGTATAAAACAGGTGTTAACAAGACGACATATAATGTTTTCAGAAATGGCGCAAACAGCGCAGCGTCGGCGACCTGGACGGGGCCGGCACGGGCTCGGTCCACTCGGGGGGCTCGGGGGGCTCGGGCTCTTCGTGGGTCTCCTCGGTAGACAGCACCCACTCCGCTATGACTCATGCCTCTTTGCACACAAACTCAAACGCAAGTTTCGTGGTCGAGGTGGGAATTTACTTATTTGGATTAAATCACAAATTTATCACCCACATAATCGTTCGCATGTTGATGCAATGCCATTTGAATGCCCTCCACCCCCGGGCCGATCCCTGTCTTTAGCATGGCTCCACACGAACGAAATTATCTTTACCGACCCATTAATAAATTATTGCTCACACATTTATATATGAACGTGTAAACCAAACCTAACCAAAATAAATATGTTGTCATCTTCATGACACACCATCCTAACTCTGAAACCCATGTAATTTTTAACAATGACACACTCCACTTCCTTAATGGAAAGCTTAATACGATAACAATTTTTAATGTGGTAATAATTTATAATTGTGTGGAACGCCATTCCCGGATTTGTAAAAAATAGGAAATACATTAAATCTGTGATAACTGCACGGACATTTTCATATATGTGGGGAATAATATTTTGCATTTTGGTTTTGTTTATAACCAACTGCTAAATATAGAAAAGTTTATAATGAACAAAATTGAAATTCGTAACTTATGTTAGTAACTTCTTTTATCAGGATGAACATTTGGATGCGAGTGTCACAGAAACTTATATGGGCGAATGGAAAAACGACAAACGCACTGGGTTCGGTATCAGCGAGCGCAGCGATGGCCTTCGATACGAGGGAGAGTGGTCAGCAAATAAAAAGTACGGATATGGTGTTACTACGTTCCGAGACGGCACGAGGGAAGAAGGCAAATATAAGAATAACGTACTCATAACGAGCCAGAAACGGAAACACTTATTCCTCATGCGGTCTGCCAAATTTCGGGAACGTGTTGACTCTGCCGTAAATGCGGCACAACGTGCATCTAAAATTGCACTACAAAAGGCTGACATAGCAATCTCTAGGTGAGTACATTTAATTATGTTCAATAACCTGTCACAAAAATTGTTCAAAAATTTTTTAACTCGTCGTTTCTACGATTGTTACAGAACCGCAACGGCTCGAGGAAAAGCTGAGCAAGCCGACGAAGCGGCAGACCAAGCAAAAGAAGACTGTGATATAGCGCAAGCTACTGCGAAGCAGTTCGCTCCAGATTTTAAGCACCCAGGTTTTGACAGAATAGGATTAAGAGAAAAATATAGACAAAAGGTTTACGATGCACAAGTTGCAGCGACCGTACCACAAGAATCTGAAAAGATCTTGGATGGAAAGAGCATTCCAAATCATATCCCTCCGATGCACTCACAGATTCCTCAACCTAACAGAGCTCCAAACGCAATACCTTCCAGAAGATCTTCAACGCAATATCCTAAAACCATAGATCCACGACTTACAAATAGTTCCAACTATAATACAGACAATAGAAATCTGGGACCTCCACATGACCCATACAATTTATCAAATCAAGACAATTGGAAGTCAGCGAATACAACGCCCCAAATTTCACCTGATGGTCAAAAATCATACATACCCAATGATCAAAATAATCCATATGGGCCTATATCACAACAACAACAACAACCACAAGCCTCTTCGTATAGGTTTAATCAGCAAAGTATGGACCAAAGTGGACAGCAATATGTTAATCAAGATAGACGAATATCCATTACCCAAATGAATAGGCCTCAATTAAATCAACGACCTCAACAACAAGATTGGAACCCTCCACAAGCTCCTCCTCGACGACAGAGTGTACTCGGCCAACCTTCTTATGATGCTCAAGGTAACACTTATACTGACGGTGGAACCTCAGCGTATGGACGAAACGAGCTTCGTACCGGAACCGTACACTCTGAGGGCCCCTTTGATCGACAAGCAATGCCGACCAATCAACAAGCATATCGTCCAACGATGGATCCTCAAGGGTATAGACAACCACATGATCAACAAGGTTATGGTCAAGCGCCTGATCAAATGTATAATAGGCCTACTGACAATCAGGCATATAGACAGCAACCTGCTGACCAGGGCTATAGACCAAGTGCACCTACGGAACAAGATGTTGTTAACGGAGCTCGGCCATCAGGACCGCGACCATCAATTGATTACTTCGATCACTACAAAAGGCCTCCTAGTCGAGATTCAAGTGTGGATCGATATGGACGGCGATCGCGCCAACCATCTGTAGAAGCTGCTCCAAGTGGAGGCTCTCGCGCTGGCTCAGTAGCTCCGCAACCTGCAATGCCATCTAGGCCGGCATCTCGAGCTGCTACTCCAGCGGGCAATGGTCACGTAGCGTCTGGTCGCAACTCGATATCCCGAGCGGGTTCGCGAGAACCTCAACCATTTGAAGAATCACTTTTGAGAAAAAGGACGCTGGGTCAGGAAATATCACCTTCACCTTACCAGCCCAAACGCACTGAAAGTTTGTATGTGGCTCAGATGCCAGAACCACCGCCACCTGCGCCGATGAGAGGTGGAGGAGGCGGCGGAGGTGGTCGAAAGGTAGGTTCCTTACTAACACACAAATACATTCCACACAATATTAACTACCAATTTTGATACTTTTCCTATTCGTGTATTGTAATTATTATAGGTATCATAGGTTATATTTACACAATTTAAAAGTGTTTGAATAGTCGAACATAATTATTTTTGGCATTCGCATTAACCTCCAAATGTTGTTGTAATAAGTTGCAACGTTTAATTATTTCGTTTTGAATAATTCACCTACAGGCCATTTTGAAAGGTCAAAATATAAACTTGTCAGTTTGTTTGTAAGTGTGGCTAAGTATTCGTCCCGAAGCATAGATATTGTTATGGAGAAGAGCTATAAAATCCATTGAGACAACTTCTTCAACTTTTTCATCTCTCACTGTCACTCTTCTAGCGCTAGAAGAAACCTACACAATTATCTATATAAATAAATCGACTTCTAGAACTGAAAATATATTAGTGACTTATTTTGTGTACGACATAGCAATTGGTTTACATTTTGTTGTTCAAAACTGTATTATACAGATACAGAACTAAACTGTGGCACACTATCTAGGTACAACAGACAAAACTTGTCTCCCAATTTCTGAAGTATACGCAAAGCAAATTATTTTTGCCTTGAATCGTTGTTTAGCAACCGTGACTGTGACCAGTCACAAATCATATTTATTGATTTGTTCACATACCATTTGATATCTACGTCTATTACATTATTTTCTTTAATTTCCATCGAGTACTTATATAAAATTACATGTACAAATATAAAACCTATATAATTCTAATGGCTGTTTTTACCAATAACTCCTAAACCATTTCTTATTTAAGGGTAACTTAGCGTAAGGGAGCACCTTAACTGACCCCAAGATATTAGGCATCACTTATTCGTGATAATCATAATGTCGTTAAGTGTCACCTATCATAGACTAGGGGTTCCTTAAAATTTAAGAGAAATGGTGAAAATATGCATAAATTTATAAATTGTAAGTAGTTAATTGATTTGATTAACATCCTACGACCAGACCAGGATAGTCCAATATCAACCCAAGGTTTTTTTTTTTTTTTTTTAAGGGGGGAAAATCATCGAATGACTGCTCAGAGTCAGGCCATGAAATATTATTAATCAGGCCTTTAAATATAAAAATCGATATCGTAAATTTGTAAAAATTTACGAACTGATAATTTTCGAGCGACCAACTACACCGATTTTTTTTAATATAATGAAAAGTATCAACACTTGAGCCGTACTCTTAATAATAAGATGATTCTTATCTTATATTATTCTTATAGTTCGATTTGATAATCGGACTCAAACTCACGAGTTCACATGGACATCTCAAACCTTTTAACACCCTTCTCCGCATATCTCATAAGACTAGACGAAATTTCATGCCGATAAAGAATAGACGAAATTTCAAATTCCTTGTACGAACATTATCGAACGGAAAATTGTAATACGAGTAGTAAACCTCTGTGCAATATGGAAGAATCATAATGAACGTGTATTTTAGAGACAAGTCAAGCGAAGACAGAGTCCCATGAACTAAATTAAATACATAATAATATTGGTTTGTTGTTTAGAATACAATAAGGTTCGCATGTACGTATATGCTAACGGCCATAATTAATAACCGAAATTAGGTGTTACTCGGTGTTGCCTTCGACTTTGTCATCGTAGAATATGAATTTTACTAGCCTATGTTAGTCCTTAGTACATTAGCTATCTGCCTATAAAAGTCTTGCAAAATCGGTCCTGTCATTCCAGAGATTAGCCAGTACAAATAAACAGACAGACAAAAAAAATTAAAAAATGTTTTATATATCTGTATAGATGTATAGATAAATACTTAAAAAACAAATATCTCATTTGTATTCCTCTAAAAAATGTATAATCAATTTTTCCACCTTACAATAAAATTAATATTTTAAGTTAGTCATATCCTTCCTATAATTTCTTAAATTGAACAATAACAAGAGCCAATGAAACACATCCAAAACCAGATATTTTTTAAACTATTAATTTTATAATGATTTCGGTAAAAAAAGAAGTCAATACCTGAAACTTGAAGATTTCGATGCTTATACTTATAGAGGTATATATACTATACGGTAGCTACCTTTATAGTTAATTTAATTATGACTGACTTTTTCATAGATACATTTTTTTTTTTAAGGGGGGAAGTCATCGAATGACTGCTCCCGCCTGGGTGAGGCGGGAGGGAGTGTCAGACTCTTACTGACTAAAAACCACCCCGTTCCTTCTCCTGCACGTCGATTCGGAACCCCGGTTACCCGTTAGGTTCTCCGCGACACGTTAGGTTCTCCGCGTCTTTCATAGATACTAACTCCTTAGCGTAACAAAAATACGTAGCAGACCGTTACATAAACGTGCCTACGTCACGTCGTAGCTCGTAGCCATTTGTAGGCCCTACGTAGCAGTTCCAGTTGTGGGCCCTACGTAGTCTTCAATTAACAATACTACGTAACAAACGTCGAATCTTATTTGTATTGTATTAAACAAGCTGCATGCATACACTAATGATACCAGGTTATTACTTCTAAATTAGTATAGGAAGATAGTAAATGTACATTAGTCTCGCCCAATCGCCGCTCTCAATTTGTGAACAAGGTCGCCTAGGTTATTGTACGGTAGGTACTGGCGCACTCAAATAACGAAGCGCTGTAATACGGGGCTACTAATAAGAAATAGAAACATGAATGTATTTCCCACGGTTCACATACAAGTAGATAAACAAACGCAGATAATTTGAGGAATAGAAAATCGATATTTATTACTTTCGTTGTCAATAAACAACTTAAATTGCATTTTTATCTTAAAAACTGGCTGGCATTATAAAATCAGTGTGTGATGTGATACATGTCACTCAGAGATGGATGTACGAATGGCATTGCATTAAGATTAGTAATGACACGGGCGCACGGCAGTAGGCGGGCGGGCGGGCGGCGCGGCGGGGCTCAGCTCAGCGCTCAGCCCGTTCTATTTCTAAATTGAGACAGTCACTCGCTGCCGCTTTCCGTGTATCACCTCTTCGCTATATATAACTAAAATACATTAAATCTCAAAAAATACTTCGCTACTTACTCACGGGATCAATTTTCTTGCGAATAATACCAGAGTATTCAAAATACCAATCTACACATATCACAAAAATGGTGCCACTCGACCTTAATTTTTCAGTAAAACATGCTAAAAATTAGTGAACTGTGATTTATTATTTTGTAGAGTTATATAAAACTGTGTAATATATAAAAATGTGGTACCAAGGCGAGGAAGATGATGAAGAAGACCTTATGTGCTCACCGGCGATCCTCGCCAGGCGAGCGTCTGAAAGCTGGATAAACGTACCTCCCGTCGAGGTAAACTTGTTCGCGTATTACACACAATTATTCTATAATTGTATATTGTAAATGGACACCAGATTGTGTTAAATTATCTCAGAAACAGTGACATAATAATGTAGTACACAAGTAGTTACATCGTACCTGTGTACGTCGTCGGTTAAAGGTCAAAAGATGTATGTGTATACATTCAACTGTAGATATAGATGATAAATTATTCAAATACTTGCTGTTGGGTATTATTGAAAGAGCTGGGGATTTACTAGTACTGCGAAAGATAAATCAACATGTTTTTTTAAACACTCGTCGCCCCGTATCCGGCTCTAGTGCGAATATAAACAAACGTTTATTTTGCTCGTCTGCTTTCCAGATTTTTAGCTAAAATATTATAACGTAAACGCATCTATAAATTAGGACCACGTAGGTCTGTGTTTTTTAAAAATATAGTTGAAGTCGTTCTTCAGTGGATCGTAACTAAACTGTGATGGCTCAAGAATAAGTGATATTGAATGAATGATTAAAGAAACACCTGTTATATTAGTACAATAGCTATGTATATTTGCTGGCTATTAACCTACATGTATTATGATATGATATGGTATGCCATACTGTGATTACTTAAATGAATTTCTAAATATTATTATTAATGGTAAATAAAATAAGCATTAAATATGACAACATTTTTTGAAATATTTCGAAGTGAAAACCATACACATCTTATTATAACTAATTACCTAATAGTTAGTTTGATTTGTATTACTTACATAAAAATGATCGCGAATGTTTATGTTTAGATGCTAAGCACGCCGCAGACACTTCAGCGCAAGAAATCGTTGCCGGACGTCGCAGGAATGCCTCGCATGCCTGACGGCGGCGGCATGTCCCGCGAAGAGGTCTCGGCTCTCGGCTCGGCACGTCGTGAGGAGGTGCGCCGCATGCACGAGGAGACCGAGAAACTGAGGGCCAACCCTCTGCTCTACTTAGTTAGTCCGCAAGTCAAGGTTAGACACTCACTTACTCAAATGAACATCTCATTATCCATATTCTATTGTATCAAGTTTTCCTTTGCTACGAACTTGCTATGAACTTACTACGAATTGCTACGAAGACGTTTCATTGAGAATCTGTATAAATGTTTATACGAAACTGTTATTTTGTTTGAAGGACTGGTTCTCCCGGCAGCAACTGGTGATCCTAGTGCTGTTCATCAACATCTCGCTGGGCATCATGTTCTTCAAGCTGCTCACGTAGCATCGGCGTGTGGCGCATAAGCGCCTTTTCTTGACGACATTTTTGTAAATATTTGTAATTTTTGAACCAGAAATAGTCCAAATATTATTTAATGTGCGACAAATGTTTAAGTAACATTTATTCTTTATTCCTTTTTCATACGAGAGTTACATTTACACATCCAATGAAAACGTATTTATTTGTCAATAAGGACTTCAATTTGCTAGTGTACTTCTCTTTGACGTTGTGAAAGTGTGCAAAGAATGACGATACAAGAGTGAAAACATTATCCAAATATTTCGTCGAGCTAATTATTTCGACTTGTTTTGTGCGGGAGTGAATTGAACCTGTTTTGTGTCCGGTAATCGGAAACTTCGAATGTAAGGAGCACGTTGTTCTATAAACCTGCATATTGTAGGTTTATTTATGCCTTCTATTATGAAGCTTAACGCCTTTAATGTAATTTTAACAGCTGAGGTGTTGTTGAAAGAGTTTTCGATGAATTCGTGGTCGCTTTGTATAAATGGGAGGTAACTAGATAATCAGCATGGTAACGACGCCTGCGAGGAAGTCGTTTCTTCGCCACACTGACACTGCTCTCACAATGTTCTGTAGCCGCTGTCGAGCCTCCACCCTGCAGTAATGTAGCATCCTGCATCGATCAGATTGTACTCAGAGATTGACCGAATTAGGTATCAGAAAACTTTTCCGCCATTAGTGAAGTCGGTTGTGGGGACGTTATTATTATTACTAAATGTTATTGTTGCTAAGTCAAAGTTTAAATAATTCATAAATTATATTTGTCAATTTTTAATAGTTCGTGCTGATTATTAAGATATTGAAATACTACGTACCCCGAGTGATAAAAAAGGCACAAATATGTTAGATATAGGTATCTACTTGTTTCGAAAGTGTATATAAGTAATAATGATATTAATTAAAAGTTTTACAAATATTACACGAAGTACGCATACCTGTAAGTAGATACGTTGTTATGCTTGCAATATGTACAAGTCAAAAAATTAAATGCATGTGCATTATTTTCCTATTCTATTAAAATTGTAAAAAAAATCTAGCGATGAATACTGAATTTTTATACAAGATTTAATCTTCATTTTATACCTATGAAGTCAATTCTCTCGTAATCGAATTGTTTATATAGTGAAAGGATTACTATATGAATGGTATGTTAGATACTTATTAATATTGGCATGGAAAGCGTGCGATTGAGACTGTTGATACGTACTATATACACCTACAACGAAACTTATTGAAAGCGCACATTCGTTGTAAGGTATATATATATTTATATATACAGTTGGTAAGACAATTTTCACAGTTTCATTATTATGTAAAGAATATAAGTTATGTCTCTAAGAATTTTAATTACTTGTATCGATTTTATCTACGTTTCAGAAATAAAATATTTTAACAAAACAATCATTGATATTTATTTGTAAATTTTTCAGTTCGTAGGTACCTACTATCGTAAGTATTTATTTACCCCACAAACGCTACAATACAAATATTACATTTAAAAAATTGAGAATTCTTTAGTAGTCCAGTTCTGTTTAATGCCAACGATATGACACTATACCGCTGCTCTTCAAGTCTTCACACACACAAAGAACATAATGAATACTTTATGTATTAGTAGCCAATAGAGGTAATAGAAGCGTTTGCTGGGTGTAAATCAGACAATCTGTCAACCAATCGATGTTTATTAAAATATCTGAATCGAATTAAGTTTCAACTAAGATTTGCTCAAGGAGGTCCAATTTACTTACTGGATCCTACAGAAATCCCTTGTGTGTTAACACGGCAGTAGGTATTCCGTATTTGCATAATCAATTAAAAATGTTTGATGTAAAAACCAGAAATAAATATTTTAAATACTCATCATACAACTTTCCAGAAAACACGTTTTATAAATTTAGTATTACTGGACCTTAATTCAGTTTATTAATAATCCATGATGTAGACTCGGCCCTCGTATGGTGAAAATAAAAATTGTTGCCTCACTATGCTCTTTACTATCTCCAGTTACAAAAATCCATCGCGAAGTGATCGAAAGACAAAAAAATACTTTCGCATTTAATGGTAAAGTCACTGTAAGAAGATATTACACAATTTACACACAATGGTTACATACACAGTTACCTATACACTACCTACCCCAACCACGGTATAGCTATTATAACTTAATAAGTAGATCATTACCCTACAAATTCCCAGGTACCTCTAATTCAGCAAGTAAGCAGTTAGCTTCGTCCCACGTTAAACCTGATAGAACATCACTATCGCATGCGTAGATAAGTTCCTATTAATTAAATTAATACTTTATGGCTTCCTTCCCCAACACAAAAGTCTCAAACTAAAACGTTGAACGTCAATAACGGACATTTTACGTGTTATTTGTTTATGTTAAAATATTATTAACAGTGATTACTGAATGTGATGACGAAAGATGGCAGCAACACCACTACTTATGGCACCGAGGAGAAGTTATCGGTATTTATGTTTATATTGTTTTTAAGTTTAACAAGTAACGTGATTCAGTTATTTATTTTATTGCCCTAAGTGCTGTGATGACTAATTTAGAACTACAGTTTAGCAATGGTTCGTTTCATTACTTTACCTGAATTCCTGCCTGCGGCTGCATATGTGATAAAACACACTGTTAACTGACTTGTTAAAAAAATAAATATTGAAGTTGGCTTTTATCAATTTCAGCATTTTAAAGTCAATCTATAGTAGGATTTCCATGCTAATTTCAGACCCACTCGTCAGAAAAATACCATAAACTTATTTAATTTTCAATAATAATTTCTTAAGGCCAGTGAAGCTAATGAGACACTCGATTTGGACGACTTGCTGCCTAAAATCGGAGAATTTGGCCTGTATCAGAAACTGCTATTATGGCTCGTCTGTCTACCGGCCTGTCTACCGTGCGGTTTCTGTGCATTTAACCAGTTGTTCATGACAGACGTCCCCGACCACTGGTGCAGAGTCCCTGAACTGGAACTGCTCAATCTAACACAGGAACAGCGTAAGCTGTTGTCAATTCCACGAAAGGTACTTTATTAACGTGAATCTAATCAGTTTTAAATTAAGATCATTCAGTCATGCAAGCCTTGAATAAACTCAATAAAATTCTCCAGGAATGTCAATTATTTAAAACTTTAACATAGAGATGTTATTATTAATTAACACACAAAATAAAATTTCAGAATAATGTTACGTTTGAAAAATGTTCACGGTATGCTGTAAACTGGACGGAAATCATTCACATTGGTGGAACTATAGAAGTCAATGAGAGTTGGCCTACTGAACACTGTAAGGAAGGCTATGAATACGACATGTCTGAAGTATTTTCATCTGTTGTTATCGATGTAAGTCTTCACAGACACTTAAGAGATATTATATGTATATGCGTACCTACTAGTAGTGGACAAGATAAGAATACGTAAAGAATAGCGTTTTATCAACTGTGTCATTTCTTAAATTGTTATCTTGCTTTCAGTTTAATTTAGTCTGCGAATACGATGTATATCCAACTCTCGGGTTGGTTGCTTTAAATATTGGAGGACCAATAGGAGTGTACGCATTTGGACTTTTGAATGACCGAATTGGGCGCAAGAAATCTTTTTTCATTTGTCTTAGCACACTACTACTTGGAAGTCTAATGACCGCATATGCTCATGAGTTTTGGTTTTGGATAATGGCTCGAGTTATCGTGGGACTCACTATACCAGCCGTTTATCAGATACCCTTTATAATCTGTAAGTATAGTAATGAAGAAAAAATACCAATTAAATGTACGAATAAAAGTAGTATAGGTATTAATAATTATAAATACTTATTATTTGCAGCTCTGGAATTAGCAGGCCCTAATTACAGATCATTCGTCACAGTTATGACATGTGTATTTTACACACTGGGCTTGATTTTATTATCAGTCGTCACATATCTGCTCCGAGACTGGAGGAGCCTTGCGTTAGCGACATCAGTACCTTTCTTTTTCTATTATTTTTATTGGTTCGTTCTACCAGAATCCCCGCGATGGTTACTTATGAGAGAACGACTTGAGGAGGCAAACAGTGTTTTAAAAACTATCGCAAGAGTCAATGGCAAAGAATTACCTGAAGAATTTACTAATAAACTTCAGAAGCAAGTTATAGAGCAAAAGGAAAAGGGGATAACTGAGACGAAATCTGTGAGTGTATTTGCTCTGTGTCGTACGCCAAATATGAGACTCAAGACATTTCTGATAACGCTAAACTGGTGCGCGTCCGAGATGGTGTACGTAGGCCTCAGTTACTACGGGCCGGCTATAGGCGACAACCAATACATGAGCTTCTTCCTCTCATCAGCTGTCGAGATCCCAAGTTATCTCGTGTGCTGGATACTAATGGATCGCATTGGAAGAAGGTGGCCACTCTGTCTATCAATGGTCATAAGTGGGATTTTTTGTATCGTTACTGTATTACTACCAAGTGGTAAGCAATGATCTAATTAATTAGGCGATATTAATAATGACCTGTATGTATAGAAACGATGTTTTCCAGATGCTCGAACGGAAACCTTAATCCTCTATTTAATATCGAAGTGTTTTATATCTGCGTCCTTCTTGTTAATATATCCCTATGCCGGTGAATTGTACCCGACGGAACTGAGAGGTGTCGGTATTGGAACTTCGGCATACATTGGCGGCTTGGGTTTGATAATTATACCGTTTATAAACTACTTGGTAAACAAAGAATCGATTTAGCTATCTTAAAATGTAGATACTTAATTTTTGAATAGAAACTCATTTCTACGTCATAATTATATTATTTTGTACAGCCAAGCCGTAACAAAATTGTTCATGCATTTTAATTTATTGCTCATTCATATTGACTTGTGTGATGTGATTGATCTCCTTCAGAACAATGCAAGTATACGTTAGTTACAAGTTATAAACATATCAGTAGAGCACACATACAATAGCCAACACATAAATTCGTAATGTTTAATAATGAATAGAAATAAACACAACAATGTAACGACATGCCATTGTGAAGTATACCTGCATACCTAGTTTATGGCATTTGTTGAGCGCCACCTGTGTAACTACATACATAAAATGATTACGAATTTACCTGTTCATTATAACATATTCCATTAATAGAATTGCACCGTATATGATTGATATTTTTCTATTATCTACCTATTATTCATTGAGACCTGCGCACTTAGATATGTGTACCTTCAACTTTTTATTGCTTATCCCAGCCCTAGTAGATATCATGGGATCATTATAATTATCATCTTTTCACTTTTCTACCAACATATTCCTGTATTTTATTGTAGGGTTCAAGCAATTTAGTACTTCCTCTAGTTGTAATGGGTGCGGTCTCAGTGGTTGGAGGTTTGAGCGCGCTTCGATTACCTGAAACCTTACACACCTCATTGCCTCAAACTGCCGAGGAAGGAGAAGAGTTTGGCAAAGATTGGACATACGCGGATTGTTTGGCGTGTGGAGATCAAAGGTATACATAACCTCTGTTTACATAAACTATAACGCAAAGTAATATTCTCTACAGCGGTTTAGGCAAATAATCTACCCACCTAGAAAGGATCTACCTACTATCTGAAATGTCGCAGGGATATGATAAACACGGGGATTTGCCCCTGAATTGTGCTGTCATCTGCATACCCAAAGATACCGGGCTTAAGCAGGTCGTTTATGTGCAGCAAAAAGAGCGTCGCTGAAAGTACTGACTCCTGAGGGACGCCTTAATACCGAATTGGTCAGACGAGCAGCCATCGATGACTACTTGTATTGACCGATCCCTCAGAAAGTCTGCTATCCATCTGGATAGCAGACTTTCTGTGCAGATGCATAGATCAGTAGGAAGTCCATATGCAGGAAGCTTGCCGATTAGACTGTCGTGCCATACCCTGTCAAAGGCCTTCGAAATATCGAGGGAGACTGCTAATGCCTCCCCGTGCCCCTCTATGGCCTTGCTCCATATGTGAGTGGCATACGCAAGAAAGTCCCCAGTCGATCGGTTACGTCGAAACCCGTATTGCCGATCGCTGAGGAGGTTACCTTCAAGGTATGCCAGAAGTCTATTGTTAAGTAAACGTTCCATGGTCTTGCAGAGTATGGACGTGACCGAAATAGGGCGGTAATTGTTAGGGTCGGCACGACTACCTTTTTTAGGCACAGGCTGTACGTTGGCCAGCTTCCATGCAACCGGTATTAGACCCGTCTCCAAGGAAAGGCGAAACAGACGTGTCAAGATTGGAGACAACACAGGCGCACAGGTTTTTAAAACCAGGGCTGGGATTCCGTCGGGACCACTGGCCTTGTTCACGTCCAGATCGCGAACCGTCCTATATTTTATACCTCCCTCTGTCGAATGCGAATTTGCGACAAATTCGTCTTGCATATG